CTGCTGTCAAGTTGATTCTGACTCACAGCAACCCTCCTTGGGTTTCCAAGGTGGTAAATCTTTACAGAAGCAGATTGCCCAGTCTTCCTTCTGTGGAGTAGCTGGTGGGTTTGAACCATCAACCTTCTGGTTATTACTCAAATAATAAAAGAGCTGATCAGAAGATTCCAAAGGGTGGCTTGAGAAGACAAAGTAAAGCATAGTGAAATGTGCAGAGACTTGGAATTAGAAAACCAAAAGGGAAGAATATCCTCAGCATTTCTCAAGCTGAAAGTACTAAAGAAAAAAATTCAAGCTTCAAATTGCAATATTGAAAGATTCTTTGGACAAAATATTGGACAATGTTGTTGTTAGGTGCCATTGAGTAGGTTCCAACTCATAGTGCCCCTGTGTATAACAGAACAAAACACTGCCCGGTCCTGTGCCAGCCTCACAATCCTTGTTGTTCCCAAGCCTATCGTTGCTGCCACTGTGTCAATGCATCTGGTTGAGAGTCCTCCCCCTTTTCACTGACCCTCTATTTTACCAAGCATGATACCCTTCTCCAGGGAATGGTCCCTTCTGACAATATGACCAAAGTAGGTGAGACAAAGTCTGACCATTCTTGCTTCCAAGGACTTCCAGAAGAATGAATAAATATGTCTTGGAAAAAGTGCAGCCAGGATGCTCCTTAGAAGCAAGAATGGCCAGACTTCCTCTCTCGCCTACTTTGGTCATGTTGTCAGAAGGGACTGGTTCCTGGAGAAGGATATTGTGGTTGGTAAAGCAGAGGGTCTGAGACAAGCCTCAACAAGATGGACTGACACAGTGGGTGTGACGACGGAATCAAGCACAGCAGGGATTGAGAGAATGGCGCAGGACCGGGCAGTGTTTCATTTTGTTGTACACAGGGTCTCTGGGAGTCAGAGCTGACTCAACGGCACCCCTGACAACAACATACATGACACAAGAAATAAGGGACATAAATATATATATATACACACACATACATATATTTCAATAAATTATAAAAGCTTTTGGTTTTCTATCCATAGCAAGTTTTGGGAATTTAAATTTAAAATCTCTTTCCAAGATTCTCTGCTGTAATCTCCAGCAGCCAGTCCATCCACTGTCCTTGTACTCTATTTCCATTGTATCATTCTATTGATAAAGCTGGTTAGTTTCCCAAAGCTTTTCTTCTGTTTCAGGCAATTGCAGTGATTGTAACTATTTTGTCACTGGATACCATGGATTTATTAATTTATTATATTTGTTTATATTTAATATATTTATGTTTACAAATATATTTAAATATTATTATATTTGCTAATTGGTTATATTTTCTACTAGCAATGAGGTCATTGCTACCTACTACTCGGAAGGAAGGTTGGGCAATCTACTTCCATAGTGATACCACCTCGGAAACCCAAGGAGGGGTTGCTATGAGTTGGATCCCACTCGACGGCAGTGAGGTTTTTTTTTGGTTCTTTAAGATTGGACAACTAATTCCAGATTCTCATATTTAAGTACCTATTTCTCTAGGACCACATCTGGTACTAACAATTGTATCAGTCAGTTACAAAAACAGATGCTATTCTGTGTTCCTGCTATCAGGAGTTTAATACAGAATTTAGGGTTTACAGAGTTGTTGAAAGAATGAGAGAAGCAAAGATTAAAGAAACTGCTGTCAGGGTAAGAGAAGTTATCATTGAATGTATTTTCCTGAAAAACCTAAGCAAATGGTTTTCCAAAGTTTCTCAGCTTTTCCAGAAGATGCTATAGCTTTTGAGAATATCTGAGAAGCTTCCACCTATAGTGATAGTGTAAAGTGACAGAGCAGGTTATGGTGCACCTCACTTCAGGTTTGCCTTCCTATACTGGTCTTCTCCTAGCATGGAAGCCCTCTTTCTCATCCCATTTGGACTTCAAAATGCCATGGCAGGCTGTCCACTTTTAGATACCCTCTTCCCTCTGCTCAGGCTAAGTTTTCCAGGAAGCTGTTGTAAGTCTATCTGTCCACACATATATGTTCACATATGTGGCTTCATCTTTCTCCAGGGAATAATGTCTTTCACTTTACTTCTGTGTTACAAATATCATGCAAGTTCCTTTCATTAGCAAACTTGAACCCAGAACCATAGAGAAAGATATTCTGGGAAATGTAGCTCTGGGAGTGGTGGTGAAGTTTAGCTGGCAACAATATTCAGTTGATAATAATTTGATTACATAAATCAAATTATTGAGCTTAAATTAAGAGTAAGTTTGAGTATTAATTGTAATAATTAAGAGTACAAAGACAATAAGATAACAATAATTTTCTATAAAATATATATCTTTATTTAATGTAAATACATTTTTATGACAGTATTAAGACATATTCCAGTATTTTATTTTCTTAAAAAATTGTCATTAGGTTTCATAATCTTTCTTGAGATAATGAATAATATCATTAAATTTAAAATATTTTGTAAACTTTGAAATGATCTCAAATTTACAGAATATTGTAATTATGATACAGATAACTTTTCCTGAGCTGTTTAATAGCCTGATGCCCCATCTCCCTCAAATACTTTAGCATGTATTTTCTACAGACAAGAATATTCTCTTGACTATTCACTTTGGGGTCTTACTCCCCTCTCTAGGGTGCCCCTCTCATAGATGCCCTTCTCACTCTGCCTGGCCTCCAACACCTGATGCACCCACCTCACCTGCATAGGCTCCAACACTTCATGTTGGGTTTCTCTCAAGCATGATCATCCTTCTTACACTATTCGAACTCTGATTCTTCATACTGGGTTGCTCTCCACAGTGACAGCTGTTTCACCCCACTTCAATTTTGACTTTCCACACTAAGGTTGTCCCCCTGCATGGAAGCCCTCTTTTTTTCACCCAACTTGGACTTCGGCATCCCATGAGAGGCTTCCATATTTGGCCATTGTTCTCTCTCTGCTCAGGCTCTGATAGCCTACATCTGGATGTTCCCATGCATTGATGCTGTCTTCACCCTGCTCAGGCTCTCACTACCCACACCAAGATGCCCTTCCACATTTTCCTTGAACTCAAACTCTGTGCATGAGTCTGTCTCTTGTGTCACACCCTCCTATGATATTCACATCAGGATGGTCTTTGTATAGACATCTTCCTCATCGTCAGTGGGCTCTGTGATAGGCTACTAAAACCAAACTCACTACTGTCGAGTTGATTCTGACTCATAGTGACCCTGTAGGAGAGTAGAACTGCCCCATAGGTTTTCCAAGGCTGTAAATCTATACCATACTATACCCACTTGGAGATACATGACCTTACTCTGCTTGATCTCACCCTGCTTGAATTTTGACTCTTTATGACAGGCTGTTCCTAAATATGGTGTTCTGGTTGCCTAGTGCCACTTTGAAAAGAATATACCACAAATGGGAAGGCCTTAACAAACAGAAGTTTATTCTCTTACAGTTCGGGAGACTAGAAGTCTGAGTTCAAATTACCAAGCTCTAAAGGTTGTGTGAAAGCCCCTTGACCTTGGGCTTCAGCTCTGCCTCTTGCTTTCAGCCCACTGAAGCTAGAGGCATCTCTTCACTCAGGCAGCTACTGGCTGCTGAGGCTAATAAGCCCAAGGTCGACAAATAAAACGGCACAGTTCCGATGTTACCAAACCACACAGTAGGCCATTCATTCAAGTCCATTGAAAGTCCCAAGGTCAGCAGAACATGGTAGGCTGCTGAACAATGACATGGCTACATGCAGGGTTCAAGCGTGCCATAAGCCAGAAACCCAAATCTGTTTCTTATATATGGGAAGCAGACCACATACCCAAAGGCAGCTACTCAGCTGCTCACAGTAGATTCCACCGTGGAGTTGATTACTAGTCTCATCATGGGGAATACTACATCCAGCTGCCCAGCCATTCAACCAGGCCCAGCCAAGCTGACACACAAACAACCATCACATATGGATACCCTCCTCTTTTGGATTCTGATACCTCATGCCAGCTTGCTTCTGCTGTGTAGCTGTCCTTCTCATCCTGCTGTACCCTGCCACCCCATGCCAGGTTGCTCTTAGAGGGAGCCCTGCTTGGCCCTGATTCCCCATGCCAGGCTGCCACTCCCTTCCTACCCCACTGCATTCCTGCTTTTAGGCAATATGGCTCCTGAGCCAATAAACTAAAGCCTACGTTTTAAAAATTTTCAAATGTTTTAAAAAATGAGCAGACCTGGAATTTTTATCTATGTCCATGGATGAAACATTTACTGGCCACAACCATGTAGTGAAATATATTATTGGGCTTATTTTGTTATTGAGAAAATTAAGGCTTGCAGAGGTAGAGTGACTTATCTTTTGTTCATGGGAAGGCCAAGTTATGACTTAATTTAAAGTTTCTGAACTTAGAATTCCAGGAAATTTTTACTATGAAAAGTTAGTCCATTTTCCTTTTAGTCTGTTAAGTAAATGACTTTAGTGCAGTCAAGAACTTTACCACATGGCTCAAGCACTAAATGGCTTTAGGCAGGTCCAAAGGAATGGAATATGGAATTAATAAGTTACTTTTTGGAAACTTTAAGCCATATGACTAAACTATCAAAAATATAAATTCAGAAGCTCTTTTTCCTTTTTTTTTATGGTGAAATATTTATGGTCTACATTGGTAAATTACATAAGATATATGAACTAGGTATTGCAAAAGGGAAGTAAAAAAGAGACTAAAGAAGGAGGAGAAGTTGCAAAATTATTTTCTAATTTATTAAGATATTTATAACCAGGACTCAGTGAATTTTTTTGAAAAAGTAAGACAAATTCTTATTATAATATGCTCTTTTCTGTTTAATAAACTATAAGTACTTCTGAGGACAGCTATATATTTTGCCTTCTTCTCAGAAATTAAGCACAGTGTTTGCAGGCAGTAGGGACTTAACATTGTAGAATCATTGTAGAATCAATGATTAAACTTCTAAACCCATCAAAAACCAAATCCATTGCCACTGAGGCAATTCTGATTCAAATTTCTAGAGGTAGCAAAATACAGTGTTCTATTCCGTTCTCTTAGTCAGTTTTCTCAAAGCCTGCTTCATGTCTCTGTTCCTAAGGCTATAGATGAAAGGATTCAGCATGGGGATCACCACGGTATAGAAGACAGTGACCACACGGTCCTTTGTCACTGAGTAGGTGGATGAGGGGCGAATGTACACTGAGATGGCTGTTCCATAGTAGAGTGCCACAATCGTGAGGTGGGATCCACAGGTGGAGAAGACTTTGTATCTGCCTCCTCCTGAAGGGACCCTGAGAACAGCACGGGTGATGTAGGCATAGGACACAATAATGAAGATAAAGGGACTCATGATCACAAAGGAGCCCTCTGTGAAGGCCAAAAGCTCATTGACAGAGGTATCAGAGCAGGAGAGTGTTAGCAGTGGCTGGACATCACAGAAAAAATGGTGGATGATGTTGGTCCCACAGAAAGAGAGGCGGGACATGAGAATTGTGTGGGTCAATGAGTGGATGTGGGACACCACCCAGGATGCCATCACCAAAAGGACACAGCGTCTGGGGCTCATGGTCGAAGTGTAATGCAGTGGGTTGCAGATGGCCACATAGCGGTCAATGGCCATGGCAGCCAGGAGGAAGCTGTCAGTGATTGCACAGGCCACAAAGAAGTACATCTGTGTGAGACAGTGGGCAAAGGAGACCGTTTTGCTCTTGCTGAGCATGTTTGCCAGCATCCTGGGCACAATGACATTTGTAAAGCAGATGTCCACAAAAGACAGGTTTGAGAGGAAGAAGTACATGGGGGTGTGGAGGCGGGCATCCCCTTGGATGGCTGCAATGATGACTGAGTTGCCAAACACATTGACCAGGTACATGGTCAGGAAGCTGACAAAGAGCCACACCTGCTGTTTGGGGTCATTGGTCAGTCCCAGGAGGAAGAATTCAGTGATGTGGCTCTGGTTTCCTGTTGACATTGCTGTTCTATAAGTAGAAAATGGGAAAGAATGTTAGAT